GGATCTGGACAAGCAGCAACAAACACAATACACAAGAGCAATTCCATTAAAAAAACAAAATAAAACCCTGTCCTGACTTCAACCCAAAGAAGAGAATACAATAGAAATCATCTAGTCATTTCAACAAATGCAATAAATGGGCAGAAAGCTCTGTCAGTCCAGCCTGATTCCTCAAAAGGGCCCCAAAATGGAAAGTACACCTTCTCCATCTGCACAAAGACTTCAGAAAGTGACTTGGGGGAACTACAGCTCCCAAAATCCCTAGCCAACATAGCTGACTAGGGATTCTGGTAGTCCACAAAAGTCTCCCTTTCCCCTGCTCCACCAATATGTCATTTACAAAGACATTATATGGCCCAGACACACAGCTGACCCAATGGGCTACTACTCTGCATCTGTTCCAGCTCATGCACCTCCCTCACTCCCAGAATCTCCCCACCAAAAAAACAAGTCACGTCTCTTACAGCACGAAGCTCTCATTCCAGAGCAGCTCAGAGTTCCCCGCTTTCTTTGCCGTCTTCTTGGTCTCGCTGGGGAGCCCATCAGCCATCACCTCCACAAAGGAGGTGATCCGAGACTGACGGCTGCCATGCCCTTTGGGCTTTGCCGACACAACTGGGGGAAAGAAACGGAAGAGTTAAGCGGTGGCTCCTTGAGCCAGTGGGTGGGGGAGGCAATTGCCTTGGGTCTGGCCAAGATTGTGATGGTGGGGGGCCTGAGATAGCCAGAAAAGATTACATGCCAGGGACGGAGATACTCCAACCCTTCCTGAGAATCCAACAGATTTAAACTGCAAGAAAAGATACCACTTAACCATGAGGAAGAATGTCTTGACTCTAATAGCTGTTGGACAGTGGAATGAGAGGGTGGTAGATCTCCCTCTATTCACCTTTTTCAACAGAGGTTGGATTTCCATCTCTTGGGAGCACTTTAGTTATGTCTTCCTGTCTGACAGAATGGGGTTGGAGTAGATAGCCCTTGTGTCCAAATCTGTGATTCTAACTTAGGAGGGAAAGAAATTGTGGTGTAGGGGAAACTCGTTAAATAAACCTCTGTCTTCTTTCACTGACGCCTCCACACTTGAATCCAAATAGGAAAGGGGACAAGTTTCCCCTTCAGTGGGACCTTTGATTCAAGGGAAACTAAGTTGAATTGAATTCTGACTTCCTTTCTAGTGAGTATATGTGCAAATAATACCGATATACCTCCCCCTATACAAACTACATCATACGCTTCTTCCGAGCACACTGTTCTCTTAACCCTCAAACCCAAGAACTGCCAAGTCATTATCTTTTTTCTGCAAAAACAAAACAAAACAAAAAAAAAACTGGCCAGAGGCTTTCAGTCTTTTACAAATGTCTCTACTGATCTTTCTCTAATCAGTGCTAAGAAATATTGTTTTCTATGCAAAAATAACATCACTTGTGAATGCAAAGATTCTTGTCAGCGCAGGATTCCTCTCATCAGGGTTTATTGGACACTATTGGAATATTTTTGCATATGCTCCCTGCCTCCAGTGTCTGGAGAGCCCAGACTGATGTTTCCAGCAGAACCACAAAAACATCTGCAACCATTCAACCAAGCTGTGAACTATGAGGGCCCCCTTGTGGCGCAGAAGGTGCGTCCTTCCTCGCACACAGCTGGCCCACAGCTGCAAGAGGGTGACCCCTCCCAACCCTACAATTTCCCCAACCTTCCCTCCCCCCAGCTGGCAGAGCCTGGGAGGGCCAACAGACCATTCACAGTGCATGGCCCCCAATCACTGAGAAGCCTCTTCGTCTATTTGGGGAAAAGATGAGCAGATGGTGCCATGCCTGCTCCTTATGCATGCTCTCAGTTCACCAGCAATCAGACACAGAGCTTGGAAAAGTTACCCTTTGAGACAAGTCTCAGAAGCCCCCAGCCAGCAAAGTTTCATGGATCCATCATCCAGCCATAACCAATATCCCACAGCCAACAATGACAAGAACTATCAGAATCTCCCAGCCAAGCTGAACCACAACTCCCAGAAATTTTGCTGGAGCATCCTGAAGTATTGCTTCATGTAGCTTTGTGTGCAGACCTTAAGCAATGCACTATTCCTCAAATCCACAGAGGGACGATGGGCCCACACAATTTTTTTGGCATGCAAAGGACCCAGGAAACAAAGAAGAAAAACATTTCCTCTATGGCTTCCATCCAAAGTTCCTAGGATTAGTTCAAAGTCCTCATACTTGTAGAATAAGTAGCGGGGGGGGGGGAATTCCCATCTCTGCCCCACCCCATATAAATCAGGTGCAGGGGGGAGGCTCCCCAGCCACCACTGTCAAAGGCTGGGAATGGTGGACACTGCAGTTCAATAATATCTGGAGCTGCATGATTCCAACCTCTGACTGACAACAGACAGATATAAAGGAAAATGTTTGGACTTTTGAGTGTTTTGGACTCCAGTTCCTACAATCTGCAACCACTGGACCTCACTATTCTCTCACTTCCACCACCATCACAGGCACTCTGGGAGAGGACAGGGGACAGACCCTTCCCAAGATACAGGAAACCTCCGAAACAGTTCAGGAACATGATGTGATCCCCACCTCCAGTCCTTTTTATAAAACCAACAGAACAAAATAAAGCAGGTCTCTGCTTGGCATAATTACTTTTGGGTTCTGTGTAAGTCTACAGCCTCCATCCAACATTCTGAACATCTGTTCAGTTTACTTGCTTTTGGGAGAGCCCAAAAGATTTCCTGACCTGAGACAGGTCAACTGAGACACACACACACCAGTGTCCAGCTGCTCTGAACTCTTAAACCATCTGGGACTGGGACATATATTAGACTATAATGGCTCACCTTTCACGGTAAGTGGAGATTTCTCTCCAGAGAGCCCTGCAGAAGCCATTTCATCATCAGGGTCCTGTAAAAATGAGAGAGAAAGATAACTCATGTTAATTAAAAATTCAAGGCAGGAAAGAAACTTTTCATTTAGACAAGAGAGCCCAAGGTCACCCACTGGGTTTCCATGGCCAAGTGGGGATTTGAACCCTGGTCTCCTGGAGTCCTAGTCCAGTGCTGAAACCACAACAACACACTGGGTCTTATTTTTAAGAGGACTGCCTTTTTAAAAATTGTATTATACACTGTTTTAGCGGCATTTAATTTTAATCTACATTGTAAAAGGGACACAGAAAAGATAGCAACCAGGAGCACAGGTGAACAGTCACAGAGCAGTTCCAGGAACCATTCAGCTCCCTATCTACCCACAGGGCAAAAGGAATTTTGTGGGCAAAAGGACAACATTCAGCCAATGTACAACCAGATTAGCACTGAAGGAACAACTGCTAACAAAAGGGCAGCACTTTCCTCTACACCTGAGTGCAGCAGGCTGGCTCCATGGGCACAAACCAAACCAAGTGCCAATGCCATCCTGTTCCCTGCTGCCTCCAAGCACCTGCTGCCCAAGGCCACTACCATCTTGTCCAGGGCAGGGTGAAAATTTGTAGACACACTCAGCTTCATCTTGAGGATTCAACAACACATTGGTAAACCTCAGCATAGAGCATGTGTATTTTATGTCTCTGAATGACAAGTGAGCCAGTGAAAGTAGCAGAAGAAAGCCAGAACCTCCTTCTTGGCTGAGTTTCATCTTCAGCCCCCACAAAAGAGGGAACCGGTTGATTGATCTCGCTGTAAATCTCCATGAGCAACAAAAGTAGGGTTTTTTCCCAAAAAAAAAAATGCCGGCAAACAACACACTTTCATGTGTCTAGTAAGCACACCAGCTGCTCAGAAGGAACAAAACTAGCCTAGTCAATCATTAACACATTCTATCACCACACACTGATCGCTTGCCTTGGAGGCTATTTCGGTGTGAGTGTGATGGGTGAGACTCATACATATTTGTTCCATCCTTCCTGGTTCACAGGACCTTTGGACAGAGACAGAGTCAAAGCCACAGTTCAGCAATGCAGGAGGTGGACAGACTTATGTCACACCCCAAACCAGGTTGCAGCTAATGTTGTGTATCCAAACAACATCAGTGCTGACTGCTTCTTTCTGCCAAACACAGAGGCAAGCAAGGAGCGCAAAGCACAGCAACACAAGGGACAGTAGCCAAGGCCATCCCAAGGTGCCTGTATCAGCTGTTATCTGTCTGAGAGAGAGAGCTATCCTTGCCTCCTCCTGAAATAATTAGTTACCGTATATACTAGACTATAAGTCGACTTGTGTATAAGTCGAGCGCAGCTTTAGGGGCCAAAATTATGGATTTTGAAATGACCTGTGAATAAGTCGAGGGTAAAACTCAGAGGCATCCCACAGAGACGGTAAAGGATGAAGGAAAAGGAAATGGTGCTAGAGAATGCTGCCATTTTCCCATCGAAACAT